GGCTCACGGGGCACTGACTGAGGCCTATAAGTGCCTGTCCAAAGCCAAGGCCAAGAGCCCGCTGGACCAGGAGACCAAGCTAGCCCAGCTACAAAGCAAGATGACCCTAGTGAAGCGGTTCATCCAGGCCCGAAGGTATGTCCTCTAAAGGAACAGGTCAGGAGGGGAAGGCCCTCTGTTTGTACCCCAAGATTCTACACTTCCCTTCACAAGAGTTAAGCTGACTTTAAGAGACCAAACTGAGGGGCTGGAGAGATGGCTCAGAGGTTAAGAGCATTGCCTGCTCTTCCAAAGGTCCTGAGTTCAATTCCCAGCAACCACATAGTGGCTCACAACCATCTGTAATGGGGTCTGGTGCCCTCTTCTGGCCTGCAGGCATACAGACAGACAGAATGTTGTATATATAATAAACGAGAGAGAGAGAGAGAGAGAGAGAGAGAGAGAGAGAGAGAGAGAGAGAGAGAGAGACCAGCCCGAGTTTGTGTTTCCAACAGATATTCTTCAGGTAATTCTTGAACAGCTAGATAGGATTCTCTGTTGCCTGTTATACCCGAGCTTCTCTCTGGGAACTCCCTCAGAATCTCAACACCATCTTGGGAAGATTATTCCACAGAAATTAAGAAAAAAGATTGAGGCAAGAGGAGTGAGCTCAAGTCAGTAGATAAGTCTAAGGGGAGCCATGGACCTGGTCGGGGTGGTCTGGGTTATTTTTCTTTACTGTGAGGAGACCCGATGCCCAAGGCAACTCGTAAAAGAAAGAACTTAATTGCGGGCTTGCTCACCGTTTCAGAGAGTTAGTCCATGCGCACCTCTGGCAGGAAGGCTCTTCCTAGTTTTAACTGCCTGTGTAAGATGGGATACCTTTTTCCCTGTGCCTCCTTCCCATGTGTCTCCTCTAAACAGATCTCAGTGTCAAAGCACAGAACCCAGGACTGAAGGGGATGATGGGTGTATGTTAAGTGATTGGATTTACAAATGAACAAATTAAGGAATTAACATAATTCATGGAAGTCACCTACACACACACACACACACGCGCGCGCGCGCGCGCGCGCGCGCCATCTGGCCATTGCAAAAGCTGCTCCTGCAGGACAGGTGCTTCTGGCATGCAATAAGTGTTGTAGGTCAGGCACAAGCCTTTCTGCCTTGTCTGTCTGTGTAGGACATACACAGAGGACCCCAAAGAGTCCGTCAGACAGTGTGAGCTGCTCCTCGAAGAGCCAGACCTGGACAGCACCATCCGCATTGGGGACGTCTATGGCTTCCTGGTGGAGCACCATGTACAGATGGAGGAATACCAAATGGTAAGGTGGCCCTGCTTACTTAGTCCTGCTGCTCTAGAGCACAGGCCTGGTTGTTGACAGAGGCTATTACTATTTCCTTTGAGGTGAAAAACTCCTGTTCTAGAGCACTTTCTATTGCTCTGATAAACACCAAGACCAAAAGCAGCTTAGGGCAGAAAGGATCTATTTCGTCTTACAACTCCTAGGTTACAATCCATCACTGAGGGAGGTCAGGGCAGGCACCTGGAGATAGAGCCCAAGCAGATGCCACAGAGGAACACTGTTTTCTTAGACCACCCAGGACCACCTCCCCAGGGATGGCACTGCCATTCAATGGACTGGGCCCTTCTATCTCTGTCAGTATTCAAGACAATTCAGGGTTGGCAAGCTAGACACTCCAGTGGTTTAGAGCACTTGCTGCTCTTGCAGTGAACTCATTGCAACTCCCACGACCCACGTAACTCCAGTTCCACGGGATCCAACAGCATCTGCCTTCCCCAGGTACTGAGCACACACATGATACATCCATATGCAGACAAAATACATATAAGTCTTTGAAATGTATTTTTAAAAGAAAATGCCCCACAAACTCACCTACAAATTAATGTTATGGAGACATTTTCCCAATTGATGTTTTCTTCCAAGATGACCATAGCTTATGTCAAGGTGACAAAAAAAGGATGGATGGATGGATGGATGGATGGATGGATGCAGAGGCGGTGCACGCCTCACTCTGTATTCCTGTTGTTTCCATTTCACCCCTTAATAAAAGACTTCCACGGAATCTTGCATTAACCCTGCTCCACCAACTGAGCTACATCCCCAACCTAGCTTTCATTTTACTAATAATCATGTCCTATGTAAAAGTGACTAGCTCTTTGCCAGCATCTGTACAAACATTTTTCGTTGTTAGCCATCCCTGTGGCTGTTGATGTACTAGATAATGAGTCATCTCCCTCGTGTGACTGTGACATGGTCACAGTGGCTAAGGCTAAGCATCTTGTGTACTTGTCATTTACTTGTCTTTTGTAAAGTGTTCCAGGTGTTTCTATCATTCTGCTTGGTTTTTGTCTGGGTTGGGTTGTTTTTCATCTTCCATATCAAACATATGATTTGTTTCCATTCCTCCCCTTTTCTTTCCTTCCAGAATTCCAGCTGCTTACATCTATTGTCCCTCAATTCACTGAAGCTAAATCTGCTTCCTTTTATAGCTGCTACTGCTGCTGCTCATGTTTTCTTCTCTTAAGAACTACTCTGATGTTGAGCCTGCCCAAACGTCTCACCTCAAACGTGGTCATTTTACCTCTAAGCCTGACTTGGGTGTCTTCTATACTGGACCCCGCTGCATCAAATTGCAAGTCCCTTCTAAACCCCGAAGTCTTCTCAACCCTGTCTGTTCTTGACTTTGCTTCTTTCTTCAATTCTGCTGCTGCTGGACTAAGCTTTCTCTTTAGCCGGGATATGTCCTAAGCTTGTCCCTATGTTCCCATGTGCCCACCACAGCACCTGACACAGACAGGCAACTCTGAATACCTAGGACAGCATTTTCCCATTCCTTTGGGCTCATGTTCATTTGACTCCTAGCCCTGGGGTTTATGATTTGACGTCAAAGCCAGCCAAACATTACAATATAGCCTTATGTTTCTTCTTTATGACCCTTACAGATATAGTATATCTGTCCAATAAAATCATTCTGAATTTTGGCATACATAAGAATATTAAGATCTAGCCAGTTGTGATGGCACAGGTCTATAGTTCTAGCACTCAAGAGGCAAAAGCAGGAAGATTACTGCAGATTCTAGACCAGGCTGGTGTACTTAAGAGAGTTCCAGGGTAGCCAGGGACACACAGTTAAACACTATTTAAAAAAAAAAAAAAGAAGAAGAAGAAGAAGCAGCCCGGGTGCTGGTAGCACACGCCTTTAATCCCAGCCCTTGGGAGGTAGAGGCAGGTGGATATTTGTGAGTTCGAGGCCAGCCTGGTCTACAGAGTGAGTTCCAGGACAGCCAGGGCTACACAGAGAAACCCTTTCAAAAAAAGCAAACAAACAAATAAAGCAACTAGAAATATTTAATCATTATTCTTCATTTAAAAAATTTTTAAAGCTTCAAGTAATTTTGTTCATGTTTTGAATTAATATGCACTTCCCAGGATAAGACCTAGAAACCATGTAATTCTTCTTACCTCTCCTTTGTGTGAGATGCTCCCTGCAGATGAACATGTGCATGCAAGGTTAGGGAAGCCTAAGTATGCTGCCCTACAGGAAGCTGGGCCTGTCCTGCCCAGTCCCCCACTCTCTAAGCCAGCCTTGTGCAAACTTAACTAATTAATAACTAGGTTAAACAACTTAATAACTAGGTTAAAGCAGATACTTGATCAAAAAGAGCAATAAGCCATTAGCAGCCTAACTTCAGTTCAGCCAAGCACATGCCCAGAATTGGTAAAAGAGATCCAGCCCTCCTTTGCCAAGTGTCAAGGGACAAGGCAAGCAGACTCCAGAGAGCAGCTCTAGAACTCAAACCAAATCTAGTGTTCTGGCTGCTAAAGGACCCTCAAAGACTGCTGTTCCTGTGAACTACAGCTCAGTGTTAGCCACTGAGAATCATCTGATGGCCTCCCATATGACAGTCCGCTTACAAATACTGGGGAGGCCCAGACCATGAGTGCCCCTCAGAGCGAAGGCCTTTCTTTACCTGGAGCAAGGATGCTTTCTTTGGCTGAGGGTGGGCAGCTGGGACCTGATGTTTAAGAAACCTTATTACCATGAATGAATGATACGGTAGCCTTTTATCATGTGAACCGAAGATATAACTGGTGGTCACATCTATGGGCCTTCAGGTCACCACTGTTCCTTCTGTTGTAGGCCTATAAGTATCTAGAGGAGATGAGGAAAAGGCTGCCGTCGGCCAACATATCATACTACGTGGACCAGCGCACCGTAGACACCGTGCACCAGGGCCTGGGCCTCCCGCTATCCCGCATCATCCCCGAGCGGGTCCGCCACAACAGCATGGAGGATCACAAGGATGTGTATGAAGAAGTGATGGAAGAGGTGGAGAATGACGCCTGATAGCGGTCCCGCTCCTGGGAGGAGCCACCGGAAAGGCAGCTCTTTTTGTTTTTTTGTTTATATTGTTGTTAAATTCTGCACTGTCATGTATAAGCAGGGCAGTGGGACGTGGAGTCCAGAGTCCAGCCGCTGCGGCCCAGGAATATGCAGCTCTGGCTTGCCTCAGTTGCCCTTTAAAGTCATTCCTTCAGCATTCCTGCCTCTAGGCACCTGGCGGCTCCTGTGGGGTTTTGGTTCACTTCCTTTTAAAGGGAAGTTTCACTTTTCCCATGTTTTCCCAACAAAAGACTCAGAAACTTCTAGATCTAGAACTCTGAACCAAGCTGCCCTTGGAACTTGGGGATACCTGTTACTGTTAGCCTTGCCTGTAGTTGGCTGCTTATAGTCCCCAGCAGAGCCCAGTGCTGAGACCACAGCAGGGATCATGTGGGGCAGGCCTGAGCCCCGAGGACTGTGCCCTTGGTCACCAGAGTAGGGATTGGGATAACAGGCACCATCCATGTCTGCTCACACTCCTATGACTCCAAATAAAGTCCATTTTCTCAGAGTCTGTTTTCTTAAATGCCTGGACAGGGTCCTTGCTGCCCCTCAGGAGGACCCATGTAGGAACTAAGTCCTTGCCAGTGAGACCACAAAAGCAGACTATGTGACATCTGTGGCCCTGTTTATTCTAACAGAACATTGTTAGAAGCCCTGGGGACCCAGCGGCTACCCCTGGTCTGCTGTTGTAGCATCCCCTTTGGAGTATACTAGAAGCTGAACAGCTGTCTCTTATCTTCACTCTTGAGGCCCTGGCCACAGAGCCCAAAGTTCTGCTCTCAGGAGGAGGCACCTCTTGCACCCCCAACCCTCCCCAGTCCAAATTCCAGTCAGTCTAAAGCTGTTGAGTCCCACGGCACAGGCCTGATATCTTTAGCTGAACGCTCAGCCTTGCCAGGGCATAAGTAATGGCAGGGTCACACTAGGACCAACAGGCCCCTCCAGACCCGGCTGCCACAGACAGCCTGCGTGTGGACTTGCCCCTCAGGCCTTCCCTTCTTCCAGTGGAGGTAGCTGAGGGGGTCCTCGGGGCTATGGAGAGGAGATGGACAGGAGCTTATCTCTGAGTCTCTCCAGAAGCAGCAGAGCCCTCACTGCCAGCTCCCTGCAGTCCTCATCCACGTCCTTCTCAGCCACATCTGCCAAAGGAGGAAGGAGGGAAGAAGAGTGACGCGGTGAGCCAGTGAGTCCTTCTCCCAGCGAAGCCCTCGAGCTCCCCCAGGCAGGGGACCAGGAAGATGAATAGGCCAGGTCCAGAGCTGAGCAGCCCAAGCACTGACCTGGGATAAAAGCATCAGACAAGTCAACCTGGGGAGCTCCGGCACATGAGCCTGAGGAGACCTTGCCCTTGCCCAGGACGGCTGACAATAGAACCTTCTGTGAGTAGCCATGGGAAACAACAAAGCAGTAGGACCCTGCCTGGCCAGCAGTCCCGTGGAAGCCACAGTTTGACACTATCATGGCCAGTCGCAAAGGCTCATGGGAAGCTAGATGCTCTTTCCAGTGGGTCCAAGGAGCTTGTCAAAGGGTCCAGGCTGAAGAGACAGCTGACTTCTTTTTTAAATCAAGTCAGGGTTTCTCTGTGTAGCCCTGGCTATCCTGGAACTCACTCTGTAGACCAGGCTGGCCTCGAACTCACAGAGATCCGCCCGCCTCTGCCTCCTGAGTGCTGGGATTAAAGGCGTGTGCCACCATCACCCGGCTGCAGCTGACTTCTTAAAACAATATTTAGAGGTGAGAGACAAAGGGCGGCAATACTGCAGAGCAGCTCTGGATGGAGCTCCCGTCGCGCTCCCTGCTTCCACACAACCCGGCTGGACTCAAAATCTTGTTTTCTTTTTTTTTTTTTTGGAGGGGAAGTTGGTTTTATTGGTTGTTTTTTGGGGGGTTTTTGGGGGGAGGGGGGGTTGAGACAGGGTTTCTGTATAGCTTTGGTCCCTATCCTGGAACTCACTCTGTAGACCAGGCTGGCCTCGAATTCACAAAGATGTGCCTGCCTCTGCCCTACCAAGTGCTGGGATTAAAGGTGTGCACCACCATCACCTGGCTAAAATCTTTTTTAAAAAACAGGTCTCAGTATGGCTGGCCTAATACTCAGAGTGTAGACCAGGCTAGTCCTGAACTTAGAGCGCTCCACCTGCCTCTGTGTCCCAAGTGCTGGGGGTTTAAAGGCTTGCACTATTATGTCTAGCTTTGGATCTGAGAGCCTTCTGAAGGAACAGAGTCCCATCTGAGTTGTCTCTGTGGGGATCCTTGTGATAGTCCCCGAGGGAACAGAATCAAGATGGCCTCCTTGATCCCCACATTCTCGTCAGCACACACGTCTCAGAGCTAACACAGGACACACCCACTCAGACTCAACCCCTCCACACACCAGTGACATTTTCCAGTCCAGACACTCACCTGCCAACCATGATCTGGCTTCTAGCAGCTCATCTGGCAGGTCCCCCAATAGCCGCTCTGTGGGTACACTGAGGAGAACAGAGGAAACAGCAGACAGCAAGCCCCGGCGCACGTAACTACCAATCAAGAGGGCGGGGAAAGAGAGAAGACTCTGTGAATGGAGCCTCCACCAGCCAGCCTATGGGAAGGCCTGCCCTCATGTACCCCATCACTCCAGCCCTGTCTGAGACCCCCAGGCCTGATTAGCCACTTCTCGTTAGGAAATGTTAGGCATGCTGCCTTGGAGACCAGACCCTGTGCTTCCCTTAGTCCCATGGGCCACTCACGTATCCACGTGGAAGCGAAGGGCCCACACGAACTCCAGCAGGGCCTTACCCATGGGCACAGCCACCTGAAGTCAGCAGAGGGGTGGCTGGTGAGGCGTCCGCTGTGTGCGTTTCCCACCCTTGGACCAAAGGTAGGATCCCACTGTGTCAGCGCTTGCCTGACACCTGGTGGAGCTTTGCACACACCTGCCCCCAGGGCCAAAGCAGGGAGGATGCATTCTGAGGGTGTAGGGTCCTGCACTGCTCACAGGTGGGAGATGAACACGCTACACAGAGCTCGGGTCCTGTTCTTGGACACTGGTGATTATCCCTGCAGGGTAGCCACCTGCTATGGACTATGTGGCAGGGCTTTCAGCTCCCGTTTCCCAACTCACTGTGGTGTTAACGGCCAGGTACATCAGGGATGCTAAGGTGTGGGCCAGTCTTCCAAGTACCAACTGATCATCTCCTAAGAGGTCGAAGGTCACCAGAGGCCTACAACATAGAGCTGAGTGGATGGGGCAGCCCAGCACCTAATGGCTGGCTGAGAAGAGCCCAGAAAGAGGGCTACCAACAGAAACCCACACCCTTGAAGGCTCACATGGCCTTCCTCCCACCTTCACACCAGGGACCAGTGTGGCAGAGGACAGCCACAAGGTGAAGGCATTTTCTTTTTTTTTTTCTTTTTTTTTTTCTAATATTTATTTATTATGTGTACAATATTCTGTCTGTGTGTATGTCTGCAGGCCAGAAGAGGGCACCAGACCTCATTCCAGATGGTTGTGAGCCACCATGTGGTTGCCGGGAATTGAACTCAGGACCTTTGGAAGAGCAGGCAATGCTCTTAACCACTGAGCCATCTCTCCAGTCCTGAAGGCATTTTCAAATGTTTCAGCATACTGTATGCCGCCAGGCACAAACCAGGCCCCGAGCCAAGGTCTGAGCAATCACCCAAACCTCACAGGCTGTGCAGGCCAGGCAGCACTGACAGCAGCACCTTCCTAAGTTCAGGGTCAATGCAGAGAGCTGGTGATGATGACTGTACCCTCAGCACAGAACTGCATAGCAAAGGGGCCTCCCCAGTGTCTCAAAGCATTTAAGTCAAGTTCATAAAAGAAGCCGAGCCCACATTCATGCCCTGTTGTGCCACAATCACTGTCCACAGGGGTGTGTCTAAAGTTCCTGAAAACTTACCTGTCAAAGTGCTGAAGGAGGGGGAAGAAGAAGTAACCAGCCACAGAGTTGAATTCATTGGGGCCACCTGATAGCTCCCTCCGCGGACAGCCCTGCCAAACACAGCATGGTCAAGGCGCAAGGCTACTCCCCTGATGCAGCCGCGCAGCCCCTCAGGCTTGCCCTGGCCTCCCTGGGTTTTATGGCCCTGTGGAAAGGGCTAAGTCTGTCTCAGGCCACTGTGGTCTGACAGCAGAGTCCCAAACCACACACCAACTACTCAGAGCTATACTCCTCACTACGGGAAGACCTGGGCATTGTGACAAGCTAAACAGCCTGGTCTCCAGCCCTGAGCTGAGCCCAACCATCTCCAGACATCGCCACAGCCATTTTCTTTGTTTCTGAGCGGCACTCCTGAGCTCTTTCCACTTCCCCGTCTTAAAATCGTGCTGGTCTGATGTGCCTCAGTTTATAGATAAAGTCTTGCTCTAACTCAACACTGCGCTGACCCTGCCTGTGTCGGGGTTCCCTTCAGTCAGACAACACATAGAGGAATCCAACTGTTCATGTTGCTGCCCACAAAACAAAAGCCCCATGCCGACAAGGACCTGAACAGCGTCCTGCTGACCTTCGAGAACCTCCGGGTCTTGCTTTTGATCCGCTCCTCCACAATCAGCTGCCAGTTGGGAGCCACAGCATTGCCAGGCTGAGAAACAGCTAGTACTGGTGAACACGAGGTGCCAGAAGCAGGGGGACCGTGCTGGGAAAGCCTCTGGAGGCTCCGTGGCCGAGACAGTGCCTGGGCAGCCAGAACAAGAACCTAGAGGAGAGAGAAGTGGATGGCAGAGAGGTTCAGGGTACTCACTGTCCTTGCTGAGGACTCAGGTTTGGTTTCCAACACCCACACATCTTTTCTGGTTTCCACAGACACTGCATACATATGGTGCACTAACATACGTGCAAACAAAACATCCACACACATAAAATAAAAACTAAAATGTTTAAAACGACTCAGGACAGTATGTGGCTCTGGGAAAGGACACTCCTCTAAAGATGGAGTAGCAGCCAAGTACCCACAAAGCTCTGCAGCCCTGTTAAAGGAACTGGGTCCCCATCCTAAGTACTCATGATCTGAGCTTCGTGCGGGGGCAGGAGGCGAGATGAGTGCTCCCTCACAATGAATGGCTGGACCAATGTACTGTATTTTTTCTCATACTTACCAAATTTCATCCCTACCTTGCTCCCTTCCCCAAGGAACTCAGCTTCACGGAAAGAGGAAGCTGAGAAAGGGAATAAAATGAAGCCTGCACTTGCCACATGTGGAAGACTGTCAGCAGCACCGTGTGCAGCAAAGCAAGCCTGTCAAAGGCGCACAGCTGCCTGCTCTGCTTATGCGAAGGATTTAGAACAGGGAAATCCAGACAGAACAGAACAGGACAGAGAAGGGTTGGAAAGTGGATGCTACTGCGACCACACAGGGTAATGGCGATGTTCTGGAACAAGGTGATACAGCAGAGCTGGATTAGAAACATGAATTTTTTTGCCAGGCCCATGGACACACAGTCTATTATCCTAGCTACTCAGGAAGCTAAAACAGAAAGATCAAAATTCAAAGCCAGCCTGGGCAACTTAGGAATTCCCTATTTCAAAATAAAAGGCAAAAAGAAAACCTAGGAGCCAGAGAGATGGCTCAGCTCCTAAGAGTCCTTATTGCTCTTGCAGAAGACCCAGGTTCTGTTCCCAGCACCCAAGTAACAGCTTGTAACTCTTCTGACCTCCATGGGCTCCTGTATGCACATGATCACATATATGCACACAAGCACACATACATACACATGAGACAGGACTTCTCTATGAAACAATCCTGACTGTCCTGGAACTCACTTTGTAGACCAGGCTGGCTTCAAAGTCACCGAGATCTGCCTGCCTCTGCCTCCCGAATGCTGGGATTAAAGGCATGCGCCATCACTGCCTGCCAATTTTTTTTTCTTAAAAGACAATGGTGTAGTTGTGCATGTTTTTAATTCTAGCACTTGGGAGAAAGAGACAGGTTGAACTCTGTGAGTGCAAGGCCAACTAGGACTATACAGTGAGACCCTCTCTCAAAAAATAAAAAAAAAGAGAGAGGAAGGAAAAGAAAATGCAGAAGGCTGAGGGTACAGTTCAGAGATGATAAACAGTTTGTCTAGCATGCACGACCCCAGGACCACAAAAATGCTGTTTCCTGTCTTATTTACTGTTGACAAGTAGATAAATTTTACCACTTTATGTATTCTTGTGAATATGTATGGATTCAGATACATGTCTATGTGTACACGCAGTCAGAGGTTGGTACTGTGTGTCATGTCTGGTTGTTCTCCACCTTAATCTTGAGGCAGAGTCCCTCACTGAGCCTGGAGTTCCCCACCTCAGCTGCTGGCCAGCGAGCTATACGGATTCTCCTTTCTCTGCCACCCTATGAACGCCAGTATTTGTTCAGCAAGCACTTTATGGACTGAGCCATCTCCTCAACCTTGATGGCACACACTCTTTAAGAGTTCAGAGGCTGCCAGGTGTTATGGTACACCTTTAATCCCAGCACTCAGGAGACAGGCAGGCGGATCTCTGAGTTCCAGGCCAGCCAAAGCTAAAGGGTGAGACCCTTGAGTTCAGTTGCCCTGAGCACGGGATTACCACTGGGAACTCTCACTATCATTCACTCCAGAGCTTTCTGTCTCCTGAAACACCAATCCCTTGGGCCCTGGGAACCACCTCTCGGCACTATCTCTGAGAATGCACGATTCTAGATAGTTTACTACTCAACAGCCTTGCCACACGCAGTACTTTTATACAAGATTTTAAGGGCTGTCTGTGCTTAGTAGGTATAAGAACTTGTTTACAGAGGGATCACACTCAACCACACCGGGTTGGTTTCTCTGGTAATGAAAAATTTCATGTTGTATAAAAACATACCAATATAATTGCTATCCAAAATACATAAACAAGGATGGTAAGAGTTAGTGGTCAAGAGTGCCTGGTGCTTTTGTAGAGGACTAGAGTTTAGTCCCCAGCACTGTGTCTCTCAACCACCTGTAACTCCAACGCCAATGAACCCAGAGCCCTCTTCTGTCCTCCACAGGCACTGCACACAGTATTCAATACTCAGACATGCATATACACATGAACACAAAGACAAAACACAGAAACAGGGCCAACAAGATGATTCAGGAGGTAGGTGCACACTCACGCACATATACATACAAACACACACACACACACACACAAATAAATAAAAACTCTTTTAAAGCCACACAAACAAAAGAAAATACTGTCGCCAGCTCTCAGCCCCATACTGGTGAACCTGTGGTCAGCAGGCAGAAGTGCCTCTCACATCCCTGTTGGGGAAGGCCGCTTGTTTGTTCCCGGCTGCCCAGACCACGAAATAATCACACAGAAACTATATTATTTGCAATATTGTTTGTCCAATAGCTTCAGTGTATTTCTGTCTTACTTTTATATCTTAAATTAGCCCATTCTATTAATCCGTGTATCACCACGTGGGTGTGGCTTACTGGTAAGGTTCCTGCGAGTCTGTCTCTGGTGGAGGCTACATGGCTTCTTCCTGACTCTGCCTACTCTCTCCTCTATCTGCTTGGAACTCCCACTTTGCCCTATTCTGCTAAGCCACTGGCCAAAACAGATTTATTCATTAACCAATGAAAGCAACGAATAGGCAGGACTTCCCACACCACATCCCACCAAGGAAGCTTGGGGTGACCTTTGTCCACAGTCCCTATAGGTCAACTTCCCAACTTAAGGCAACCTGGGCCTGACAGGGACAGGGAGGGGTCTAAGTCACTTACATCCAGGATGTCCATGCGCTGCCGCAGGCTATAGTTCAGGCCATAGAACTGTGAGGTCAGATACTTGGCTACCTAAGTAGGCAAAGGAGAAGCCACTATGCTCAGAATCCAAGATTACCCAAGGGCCCAACCTGGGCACAGAATGGGGCCACCAGGGCAATTTCTGATGCTCCTGGTCTGACTAGGGTCATGCTAGGACTTACCTGCTCTGGGTCTGTGACTGTGACAGCCACCAGAGCTCTCTGGCGCAGTTGTTCAAAGTCTGCCAAGCAGGTCTTCTCTTCCAGGTGCAGTAGCACCTTGGCCAGCTCCACGCTCACCTGCACAGGGCCAGGAATCAGGATGCCTTCAGCCCCATATGCCCAATTAACAATCCAGTGCCACCCTCTAAGATCTAGGATACAGCCAGGTGGTGGTGGTGCACACCTTTAATCCCAGCACTTGGGAGCAGAGGCAGGTTGGATCTCAGTGAGTTCAAGGTCAGCCTGGTCTACAAAGCAAGTTCCAGGATAGCCAAGACTGTTGTTACACAGAGAAACCCTATCTCAAAAAACTAAAAAAAAAAAAAAAAAAAAAAAAAAAAAAAAA